GTTCTTTTTTTTTTTTTTTTTTTTTTTTTTTTCTTTTTTAATACTGAAGCTGTGCAGATTGTAAGGCAAATCTTCTTAGAAAGCTAGTTTAGAGCAGCATCTGAAATGTGCGATTCTTGGAGCCTTCGGAGACTTCTGTATTACAAAATGTGTGCCCAGCCTTCTGTGAAAGAGTGGAGCATGGAATATCACATCCTTAGATGTTTGATTTGGTTAGACAGCTAAAGAACACATTGTACAAAGGTATCCATCCTTGATCTAACATCTTTTTTTCCAGTAGTTGTGCATCCTCCATGCTGCTTGGTAAATCCAGAGTTAAAAGGAAAAGTACTTTGTTTTCAGTCTGAAATTTTTTGACCTAATCTTCCAGCCTCTGGACATGGCTGAGTCCTCTGGTTCTTCCTGCTGTGTGTGCTCAGTATCTGCCGTTCGCATCCTCACTGTCCAGTTGCCTGGCAGTCTGGAAAACGCTCATGTTCTAAGGGTTACTGGATTACAATTGTTCTCTGCAAACAAAATTCACATCTGTTCTGACAACTTATTTCAGCCTGATGCAACTTGAAAAGGTCGAGATTAATCCCAGAAAATCAGACTTCTATTGGAAAGGCCAAATCAACTTTAATTGTAACACATGGCTATTTGTATTGGCGTTTAGCTGCAGCCGTTTATCCTTCTTTCCATTGGTATTATTTGTTTCTGAGCTTGCTACTAAAGCCTACAATACAAACTGAAATGTTTTAAGTAACATAACAAAAACAGCAGCTGACATCTTCCCTTTAACAGGTTTCCAGTGACCCAGGGTATTTTGTGTGCCTGATTTTACAACATTTGTTTATCCGCAGTCTGGGAAAAAAAAAAAAAATCATAGAAGAAATTGTTGGCTCATTTTGTAAAGATTAGTGCTGTCTACTGTACTTTCACACACCTTCCTAACCTGTTGGCTTTATCCATCAGCGCCTGGGGGGATGAACCATTCGCTCTGAAGTTCTGCCTCCTACCACTTTGATTGCAGGCGCTAAGGGGTTTAAAATGCCTTCACATTACGGCACTTGCAAGCTGTGGTTTTCTGTGTTGATGAGGTGACTAACAGCAGCACCTCCCCTCAGCAAGGGGGACAGGTTGGTGTAGCACCTCTCTAACCACCCTGCTATCAGCTCAGCCATCGAGCCATCAACTGACAATTGAGCTCTCAGATCCCGTGAAAAATGACAGGATGAGAGAGACGCATTTGGCAATACTTTGCTCTTGCTGTTTGGCCTGGAGAAAGATACTCAAAGTGGTAAGATTGTTTAGCAACAGCTGGCAAGCACCCGGGTGTGAGCCTGATTTTCAGACATGACAGGCACTTACAGGAATGTTGCCAGATACAGCTGTTTAAAAGCCTTAATAAACAGCAAGTCAATACTAATCTTTGCCAAATTAATCTTTTCCTTGACAGCCCATCAGAGCAATTATGCTCAGACTCGTTGTAAACACACAATTGTCAGTGGGTAAGGATCTTCTCTGCAGTATACTGTGGATTTTTGCACACAGCTTCTTTTCCGAATAGGAAGGCTTCCTTTTCTTTTCCCCTTCCTCATTTTTTTTTCCTTTCCTTTCCTATTTTATTTTCTAGCCAATTACGTGTTTGCCAGCTTGGTATTAGCCTGAACAAAATTTCTTTGTAAAGTGTCTATCGCAGCAAGCCCTTAATAGAATGTGAAATGATGACAGTCGCAGGATCCATGCAGATGCACATTTGCTAGTGGGTTTCTCTAATTAGGCAGTAACTGTGACAGACTCTGAAATGTTACAAGTCATTGTTCTCACTTGTCCTCTTGTTGGTGGAATAAGAACTACATTTGAGTTGTGATTTAATGTGCTGCTGGGTAATAATAAAATACATGACTTTGCAAAGGAAAGCAAATGCTGTCTGTGAGACCTGACAAAAAGCACCTCCTGTTCTCTGAGGTGCTCAGCACCTCCTGCAGCACTGCCAGCACACTGCTATACTCACTAAATAATATTTTATTTAAATGCAAAAGGACCTGAAGATACCAGATAAATAATTGACAGGGCAATGTTTGTATAGATGTCTGTCTATCTATACCTGTATCTGTATCTATATGTACCTATCTGTGGGAGTTCTGGGGAGTAACTCCTGTATGGTTTACATACAGATCTTCAGCTACTTCTCACAGTGTCTGTAAAACATGGATTTTTACCTACTCCATTTCCCCAGAGCACAGAAAGAGCTCCCCGTGGATCTGCCATGTTTACAGGATTGGGTAAGAAACAGTCAGATACAGTCTTGGTAGTTCAGGTTGAGATGAAGTCTCAGAAGGTTGAGGAAGGTGGTAAGAGCATGTTTTACCTTCCAGTAATGAGCTCTTTTATTGTCAGGTTTCCTGTTTACAGGGGAGCCTCGCAGGGAATATTTGGCAGAGATACCACTGGAATCAGGAACCAGCATTTGGTGAGAGAGAGGAGTGGGCACGAATACATTACATTTCATTGTGAATGGCTGGGGCCCTCCATGAATACATTACTTAATGTCTGTGGATGAATGTGGCAGGGAGGGAAACCTATAGCAAGTCCTTTTTGGGTCAGAGGCAGCAGCGGGACTGGATTTCTGCTCCAACCTCTGTGAGTTTGCTGATGGAGAGGCTGGGACTTGCCTCTCCAGAATGAGGCACACTGAGAGCAGCAGTAAATTCAAAGACCCTTTCCTTTTCAAAACTTCTGCTTACCTTGGTGCAAGCACATGGGATTTAAATCTTGAAGAGTGCATATGTTGCTAACCTTGCATTTTTCCTACTTTCAGAAAATAATTTTTAAAAAATACAAATTTTAATTAATGGAATACATTATTTCCCTTGGTTTCTATCACTTTGGCAGATGTCTTTATCATATTTACTTGCTCTTACTGCATTGCTTCAATGTGTAGGTTGTTTCGTTCCTGTGTGCTTTCTCATTATCATCGTTATGACAGATGGTGACTTGGGTATATGTATTACTGTGGTGCCTAAGCCACAGTGCTTCAGCAAATGATGGGGCATACTTTCATGAAACTCCAGTGGAGTTTCACCTGCTTACAAAAGGATCTCAACCTTCTAGGCTCTATCTATTGACAATTTGTATCTGTCAATATGCATCTGAAAACAAATAGCAGATTGCCCTTGGCTGGCAACCATTCCTTTTTCCCAAGGTCAGACATGAAGAACTGACATTTATGCACTCAAGTTGGATCGTTTAGAACAAAGTGGCTTCAGTATAACCCTGGCAAAAACTGCTGCTCTTCCAGCATAGCTGTCCCATCCGAACAGAGCACAGGCACAGAACCAACCACTCCTAAAGCACTGGGTGGGTAAGGTGCTGCATGGCAAACACACCACGGGTTTCCCTTCTTACAGACTGAGAGACACTAGCCACAGGTTCATACAGAATAAGTATTTTATTCATGATGGTTTTTTTTATTATTATTATTATTTACATTAAAGTTTTCTTGTCTTTTGAACTCTGCTTGGATACTGAAATTAACAACTTTATGTGACTGCGCACCTGCTCTAAAAGAAATGAAGATAACACAGTTCTTTTCCATAAAAGAAAAAGGAAAACTGCCTGCCAAAATCAAAGCTGATTTTTCTCATCCCCAGTAATTATCTTCTCACTTTAGAATTAATATGAGTGGAAAATGTAGTTTACTATAATATAATAAATAGAAGACATTGGGTAATTAGTAGTGCTGGTATATTTCTAAAGTACTAAATAGACAAACAATAAACTGTGAATTTAATCACGAGTTCTCATACAGTTTCAAGACAGGAAAATTAGAGCTCTCAGCTACAGTCATTTGAGTAATCACATCTGATCTGCATTATTTATTAGTTATTACATGCCAAGTGATTCCGATTGTATATTGCCTGAAATCATTCCAAAGCAAGCATGCCTTTGTTTCTGTTTTGTTTGTAAAGGAAAATCAATGGCATTGCATAATGTGTATTTTAGCCGAGTTGCTTGCTTTATTTCACAGAGAAATACAAATCAGTGGGAGTCTCCATTCATTGGACAGGCATCTGGAAAGAAATCGTCCAGAATTATATTTTCAGAGCTATTCCTGATCCAAAATATTAACAAAATATCTTCTTTTGGATTTTTTAAATCCTGTTCTCTGTGACTGTTGAACTTACCTTTCATTCTAGGATGCATTTGTGATACAATCCCTAAAACTCTGTAGGAAATTTTGCATGTATAATAAAATGGCTGAAGCGTATTTGGTAATATTTCTGTTGGCAATATTTTTATTCCACTTGACTAATTAACCAAAACTGATGAAGTTTCAAGAAGCAGCATTATGAAGTTTTATTCAGTTAGTTTTGTTGGTTCAAGTCTTAGTTTTGGGCAACTTCCTGCTACAACGTTTTAAAAAGGGAATTACTTAAAATACCTTTCTTTTCTTAACAACCAAAGAAATACAGAAATAAGTATTGGTTACCTTCATTTTCTGCCAGTAAAGCAGGTTTGGTGTTATATATGTCACTGTAAAACTAAATAAAGTATTCACATCAGTTGTGAACAATTTGTGCCAGCAAAAGTTAAAGCGTCAAAGAAACCTCTTTAAAATGCTAACAAATTTACTTACAAACACCTATATTTATTATTTCATAAATAGGCGCAACAGGTTCCATAAAAAAGATTAAATACAGACACCGTATGAAGAAACAATAATACATAGCCATATGTAAAGGTTATAATTTAGCTGTCTCCAATCTGTTTCTGCATCTAATAAAATATCAGGTAAGCATTTGGCAGTTTTATACATAAAAGGACTTAAATGACATTTACTAACCAGTACACATAAAGTGATTTTCTTTAAAAAAAAGAAGCATTTTTTAGGCAGTACAAAATAAATGTGTTTGCTCTTTATCAACATTAGGTTTTTTTCTATTTTTTGTGTTTATTTCATGAGACAAAGCCAATATTTTTAATTAATATCATTTGGGAATATTTTACTTTTTTCTCCAAATACTTTGAAAATATAGAACTATTAGTCAGTTGTTTAAAAATGAAGTAAAAATATGAATGTTTGCCAATTTAACCCTTATTTTGAAATCAATAAACTGGAATGAGCCAGTTTCAATTACAATTAGCTACAAAAACATTCACATTTTATACTCTAGGAGAGTGTAACATAGATGCTATTTACAAACTTGCTATGACTGCTACATCAAGCCATTTAAAAAGTCTTTAGTAGTTTCATATAAACACCCATTATGAAAAACCAATGGAAAATCCAGGACTTTTATCCGAGACATCTACAGTTGCTAAGGCAGTTACTATCGCAGCACTTCACAGCAAAAACCAACATAAAATCTGAATGGTCCAAGTTTCCTTCAGGGAAGAAGAAAAGCAATGTCCGTTAAAGGATCTCAGGGTAGGGGTGGAAAGGAGAAAGAAAGAGAAAAAAATGGGGGGGGGGAAAAAAAAAGAAAAAGAAAGAAGCAAGACTATTTTTTCCAGAGTGGGTGACCCACAAGCTCAAATAGTCCTAAGTGCTTAGCAACTTGTATTTCCTAATAAAATGCAGAACTGCCTTGACTGCATAAAGCAATCCATGATGAAAAGACTTCCCTGCATTCCTCAGTGGAAAGGAGAGGTGTTTCAGATTTTCAGGTAAGGTAGAGTGCTTTGTCCCTCTGCATGCCCCTGTTCAAAGAGAAAAAGAACAAATGCGATTTTTCAAAAATTTGTCAAATTTTTAGTCCTATTCTTCCAAAAAAACCCTCAACCCTACTGCAAGTCATTAATTCCAAGCACATCACTGGAGTATGGCTGCATTATCATGGTAATAATAAGAAAAATCCCAGTGCCATAGTGTCATCTAGCAAGCCAGAGGCCACATTTGGCTCTAAACTACACAGGACTGGGACATGGGTTTAAGACCTGGTTTGGGACCACCTGCACTAGCAGGTTGCTAGTACTGACTATCCCTCTCTCCCAAACAGCATAGGTACAGCTGATGGTTTAGCACAGGTCTTGGAACGATACTCCCTAAGTACCCTACATGATGTGGCCACTTTCCTTATAGGGCAGGAGAACATGGGTACCAGCCGCTGATAGCTCTGGCCTATTTTCTTTACTAATACAAACATAGCCAAAGCATGTTAGCAGATTCAGGTAAGCATGTGCAAGGGAACACCCGAAGCTTCTGGCAAAGTCAACTAGACCAACTCTCTACTGGAGAACAGGCACTACAGGAGACCTTCCATCAGTGCACTGTGTCTAAGCATGCTTTTACATTCAGTTCTTGCTGGGTTTCAGCTTCAACTGAAGCATACCAGTTCAGAGCAAAAAGGAGACATTTACCAGTTTATAACTCAGAACAGCCTGTAGAAGTCAGAAGAAAATATATCACTCAAAGCAGAAGAAGCATCATTGATGGGGCTTGGTTCACACTGCAGAGATTTTTTGTAAGAGGCTTTAGTCTTAACCTCCTGCTTCCTTGCCAAAAGCCAGGCACCAGTTCTGTTCTTCCACAGCTTTAGAGCTGCTTGCTTTGAGTCCAGGAGCAGCTCAGAGCAAGTTACACTGCACTGGCAGTTTATGCCAATGCTATAGCAGAGATAGGTTAAGTCCATGCACACAGATTCACAAAGGCATATCTACACAGGGTATATAGAGGGTCTGCTCAGAGGAAGCTTCTGCTGATGGCAAGTTATGCCCAATGGGCTCCTAGATGGCACTGCTGGGAACGACTGTACATTGTTTTTCCAGAAGAGACTGGGAATCAAAGCCACAGGTGGCAATAGCTTGTTGGACAGAGGACAGTCTATTCAGAGCTCAGTGTAAATGGGTATAAAAGTCTGTGGGCTGGGCAGGCTCCTACAAGGGCTTGCTGCACAGATCAAGTCATTAAGTGAGACTGTCCTGCTGAACAAGTAGGCAAGTATTTGGAGAAAACAGTTCATGCCATTTGCCTCTTAAGTAGGAGGTAGTGATCTTAAAACTGCTCTCCTACACTTGCTCCCTAAGATTTCAGTTCTGCTTTTCTAAGGAATGGAAGTTCTCTAAGACCAAAGTGTATGTGCTGTGATAAGGTGACAACAATGTCTAATAAATGCATGTATTGAATACTTGTTCTCCCACAATAGCCTAACTGCCGAATAAATACAGTGCCATCACAGATGCACTTGTGAAATACTGTAGGGAAACAGGCAACAAACTTGTTTCCAAATTCTCTATCAGACACTTGTGTTATGAATGTTGCTCAACACAAGGTGGCATTCACTGGCTGCTTACCCATTACTGCAGTAGTCATTATTCCAGTCCACAGTCTGTGCTGGAGGATTTCTGCACCCTGAACGAACATACTCCATCGCTTGGGTAACAACTTGTGCAGCTGTTGATGTTGGATTGATGATATTCTGATAATCAGGCTGAAGAGTAAATCCCTAGAGGAGAAAGCAAGTACATTACAATGTATGTAAACCAAGCAACAGGTTGAGTGCATTAAAAAAACCTGATGTGTACCGGAAATGGTAGAATACTTCTTTTCCAAGTGTACTTTGAGTTATCAAACTTAAAATAGGAAAAAATGTATAGGTGTTTTCTAAGTTTTATCACTCTTTTTTTTTTTTTTTTTTGGTATGAGAAATGCAACACTGCTAAATTGTTGTTAGCTACTACACAGTCACAGGATGGAACTAAAAGGGACAGAGCAGAAACAATTCAAAACCAAGAGAACAACTCAGCCAGCACTGGGGCAAAAAGGTCTGTTTGCTCCTTAGAGCTTCCATTTAGATTAAATGTAAGGATACACACTAGTTGTTAATTCCCCGAATATGCAACAGAATCTTTTTGAAGGATGTAGGCAGCAGGTGGCTGACTGTTTTATTAGACTACACCTATTCACATATTGTTCTCAAAACCCTTTTTCTTCATTCAGTCACAAAGGGACCATCTGCTGCTTCTTTTATTTGTACTTCTCTCTCAACCAAACAGAAATTCAACCAAAGCTTTTTAACAGTTGTTGGACTAATGTAGTGGAAGTAGTACAGAATAACTTGCTTTTTGAAACCAAGAAGACAAGAAAAAAAAAAGTGGAAGTTACAAAAAGACATCTAACCTGCTCCGTGAAATATCTGTCATATGAGAAGTCATAGTAATTTTTAGCTCTTTTGATATATGAGGATGTTTAAAATGTTGTGTTTCAAAACCAGGAGAACAATTGAAATTTCAAGGCTAGTGTTCACCCTGTAAAAATGTACATCATGTTCCTGTAAAGTCAGAAGAACTACATTGGGTAAAGTACAGAATGCTGTATGAAACCAATCGATGTCTGCTGAAAAAAACCAGACCTAACTCCTTCATGGGGCAAGGGCATACAATTCCCACTCAAGTTAACTGGATGTGTAGTAAACCAGAAACTGAACTTGAACCAAGACACCTAGTTTGAAAATCCACTCTTTCTGGCCAAAGTCCACATACACAACAGATAGAATTAAAGCTCATAGCTTTTAGTTTTAATTTCAAATGCATTATGTGTGTTTGCTTCCTATACACAGCCTTCATTAGGACAGGAACTTTTTTTTTTTTTTTTTTTTTTTTTTTTTTTCTGCAGGTTTAACAAGTCAGCCATGCTATCTTTCATCAAGATAAATGAGTATTCTCAGTTTTCACCTGGCCCTCTCCATCCAAGAAATGAGCTTCCTTCAAATATAACATCACTTCCTCTTTCTTGCTGCGTTATACTCTGTCTCTTCCCCAGAGGTCCCATGGGTGTTCTGCCCTGCCGTGCCTCTCGTGTACACCATCACCTCACTCCATTCATTCTGATCATGGATTTTGGCCTCAGCTATAATCGAGTGCAACTTTCTTCCATAATCTCTTCCATATGGAGAATATCCCACGTCACGCTTCAGTACCTTAAATGCTCTTTGAAGCCTCACTGTGTCCCTGATGACTCCAAGAAACAGACTATTAGTAGTGGGCAAGTTCACAGCTGTATTCTGCATCTAATTGTCATGTAACTTATATACTGCCCTGCTAATAAGGTAAAATAAACCCCATCCATTGTGACTGTAACCCCCATGCTCCATACACTGCCTTTCACCACAGTCTAAACCTGCACATCAGGCTGCAAAAACAACCCCCATGTTTCCAATGGATCCAAAGGAAACTGTAATTGAGCAGACTTCCCAATGACTAACTGGAGTTTCGTGCAATCAGAAGGTAGAAAAAAATGGTTTTTATGTCACTGTCATATTTTTTATACAAAATATCACCCACGAGGCATTTCTACCTTACCTATAAGAGGAAACTAACCACAGAAACACATTATAACCTCAGGCACTGAGGCTCACCTTTGGTAGCAAAGTCCCCGAGCTATCTCTTACCAGTCTTCATGAAACAACCGCATATACAAGAAAAATACTATATGGGGCCAGCAGCTCCAGCACTGCTATAGTGAAGGATGCAAGTGAGCAGGCACAGACTCAGGTACTCATGCAGCAAGAAGAGACAGTTCCCCCAAATCAGAGGAAGATACCACCAGTGCAATAGCCATTCCATTTCTTCTGGATTTAGGACAAATGAATAACTTAGATGTTGGAGGATGGTCCTGTGGTTTAAATGCTAGCTTGGAATTGTGTGGGAACCGCATTTTCTCAGGTTTTCTGTGTGACCACAGCCAAACTGCTTTGCCTCCCTTCAAGCGAAGCATGTGTGCACGTGTGCTTGGATTGAATCGATACCTCTCGTGTTAAGGTAGGGATCACGGATCCAAACTTAATTCTCCTATCATCTGCAAAATAAGGGGTAACAACTCCTTCTACTTGCACCTGGCAAGTCTGTTTAGTTTCTAACTGCCTGGGATTGGGGCCTGTTTCTTAGGACATGCTCATGCAATAAATTTTAACGTGGTGCAGAGGTATCTGAGTCAGGCTCCAGCTCCAGAAGCAGCTGAGCTGCTGCAGCTCCGTGGTCCTGCTGTGGTTGAGGGCTACCAGAATACCAGCAGCGTGGGTGTTGGAAAACATGCTTGTTAAGGCAAAGCAATTTAAGAAACCTGAACTCAATACAAAGGACAGATAAAGTATAGTGATGTTTAATATGTAAACAATAATTACTTCAGCTTTTTCATCAAGAGAAAAAGCTCTGGAAAAATAGATCTGTACAACAGAGGGAGACAGCCTTGTAACAGGCTTGTAGTAAATATTTGTGTATTATTTATGTAAGCCCTTAACAAACAATGATGAAATAAAAAGTGCTCAGAAAATGAGTGCTTCGAGGTCTAATTAAACAATGCTGAATGTTTTTGCATTGTAATGCTCAAGAGAAAATCACCAACTGTTTTGCAACATGCCTAGAATTTTAAATTTCATTTTCTTGTTCCAGATTGAAATAAAAATAGGGAACTTGATAAAGATTAATTCGATGTCAGGAGGGACATTTGCTCTTTAATTAGATTTCTGTGGCCCTAGCAGTTTCGTTGTGCCACTGTAGCAAGTCCTAAAAAGCCTGCAGCAGAACTAAACAGTGATCCTCATCTCCACACTTTACTGGGAACTAATTTCATTTCCTGCCTGTCTGGAGAGGTATTTTCAACAGGCATCAATGTTTTTGTCTTCACAACTGATTTATTCATCAATCTCAATGTGATATTTTAAACCTTTAAATTACATCCAAATCCTAAAGCATCTGTTTATTACACAAGGAAATTGAAAATCTGTCTGTGTGATATCATACAAAGATTTTTCCTTAAGGTTATAAAGGAAGTTGACAGATATTAATGATTTTTTTTTTTCTCCTGACCTCATTTGAAGACAAAGCTTAACAAAAAAGAGGAAGAAATCTGGACAAATACAGCAGGTCCCTGAGTTTACTGTATATAATATATACCAGAAAAAATGAGGCTGTTATTTTTGGCAGGCTCTGCAATCATCTTGCTGTGTACATTTATTTTCTAAAGGAAAAGAAATACCTAAAAGTAGACTGAAATGAGTTATTATTTTAAAAAAATAAAAAATAAAATGTGACATACATTAATCTTCTGCTTCTTCGTTATACATGCACTTGCAGCCATGGTTACTAGACATTAAGAATCTAGTTTTTCTTGCTCTACCTGTGAACCAAAGTGGGACAGAACTTGTAATGGGACTCACCATCCCAGCCAGTGCTTGGGTGATGGATTTTGAGCAGGGAAGGAGATGGTTCCGGTACGGCTAATTAAAAGTCCTTAACAAGAACTGGGCATATCTGGGAGGGTGTGAATCCATGGTCTCATCACTCTCCACACAAACATCACAGTACAAGCTAGAGAGGGGATACGCTCAGAAAGAAGCGCAAATGTCTGTGTGAGTGGAGAAAGGAGAGAACGACTTTGCGACAGAAAACAGGTTGCAGCTTCAGGTGGTGTTTTAGTCCGAACTCTGGAGAAATCGTGCTGATTTGAATGAGAAGGGTCAAGATTCAGATCATTTGATCCCAACTAAGTAAAAACTAAACATCATGTCAGACCTAAGATACAGACTGGAGAGAAGCAATTCTATCAGTTAAAAAGTACAGTGATTAAGATGCTCACATGAGCATTTAATGAAAGAAAAATCACACTCTTCTGATCTACTGTGATTCTTCCAGTGTGTCAAAAGTGGATTAAAAAAACCTGCTACACAGTGGATTTAGACTTTAACAAAGTAAAAATTTAACATGGCTCCTATTAATATAATAATATTTAAGGAAAATATAGTGTATTTCAGAATTAGAAGCTAAATATAATAAAAATCAAGATCTAATTTAAATCTGAGAATAGAACTAAATGGTCTTCTTTTATCACTGTAAACGAGCACCACAAATATCTACAGTAGTGCCCATTATTTATTCATTAACTGTTTCGGAACAGAAAGGAAAAGAGACAAAGTAGTCTACTTTGAAAAAGTTACAGAAAACATTTAGATATCTCAAAATAGAGAAGATTGTTTAAAATAAATTAGAAAATATTTACTAATGCTAGGCTTATGACCAAAATGCTAATACCTAAATTTTACTTCGCCTTGTACATTTCAGAACAATTTGGCTGCACTGCATCAGCTGCATACTCCACAGAATTAATTGGTTTTTAAAATAACAGAAATTGTGCAGTCACTGAGGATTTTTGGCTACCAGCACTTCTAATCTTGATGTTCTGTAGTTTTTGTGGACTCCCGGAGGAGACTGCACTTCTCTAGCTGGCAGCCTCTCTTGGTTTGGCAGCTGCACACATGCAGGCAAGGACTGCTGGAAGTGGAGGAGGACATGATGTTCCCCGTGGAGCAGATGAAGATCAGCTCATTGTCGTGGCAACAGTGATGGTAGAACTCCCCAGGTCAGCACTTCTTATCAGTTCGTCCTCAAAGTTACACACAGAAGTTTGTGGATTTTGCACATAGTGGTTTTGGAGAACTGTGTTTCTGCCTGCCAGGAGTGAAATCTGGATCTTTATGTGATTTTTCTTGGAGCAGGCAGTCTTTCAGACATACTACAAGACTGTCTTTGATAATGGTCTTTGATAAGAAACTGTCTTCCCTCTTCTGGAGAAAACGAGCAGGGGATCTGTGGAGAGCAGGGATTCCCAGAGCCTGCTACCACTAAGTGTTACACTAGTATGCCACAAACTATTTCAAAGGTGGATTTTGAAGAAAATAGGAAAAAAATCAGAACCCACCACCGGTGGGAGCTGTGACTGCTGCTTCTAACGTGTCTACAGCACAGCTGTCTGTCTGCAATGGTGGTGTCCAGCCAGGTGAGTCTGCGAATGCTTGCAGTAGAAGACCGCTAGGAAGTTGTTGGCAGACTTACTCTTCTCTTGTCTATTAAGCTTCATGCTGCAATGTGACAGGAGAGAATTTACCTCATTTCTTCTTAAAGTGTATTAGTCTGTTTGGTGTGAGTGGTCATGAGGTCTCCAAAAAGGAAAACATCTCCAGTTGAAAGTCACACTGTAGGAAGTGGGATGCTAATTAGTTTCTGTTCTTGCTGCTTAGATAAACTAGATGTTTGCCTTTGGAAAAGGCTTAGGGTAACCACACCTTTAGCATGGAGAAATCAAACAGCTGAGGGAAAAAGTGAAAAAAAGTTGAATAAAATGCAACAATCCCTTCGGCTTTATCAGACTACTATTCTTCTCTTCTTTTTGTCTGTCTTCTTATGTAGCAGAGTGGTCTACACCATGCTGCTGGGGATTGAACCTCGCATCCAAAGTCCTCTTTCCCTCCTCACCATGGGCTGAACATACAGGGTGGTGCCTCTTCTTTGTCCTCATTGCTGTTGACTCTGTGCTGCTGTGAACTTTTGGAGAGCTCACTGTTTCTCCCATGATGCCTTTTCAACATGCTCTGTGATCAGCAGAGTGTTTGCTCAATTTTGATCGGAGCGGGGAGCAGAGTCCTTTGACAACTGAGTAAGAAAGAGGCCTTTAATTGTAGGTTATAGTTTCTTGACTTCTTGCTGTTTGTTTCCTGGTGGCTAACCTGTCCTCCATGCTCTAATGCAGTATGAAATCCTGATGATTGTGTTTTCTAACATTTCTTAAGTATGACTAGAAAGAGTCATACCTAAGAGACTAGACAGGATACCACTGTTCTGCTCTGGGCATGGCAAATCATAGTGTTGTTAGTATACCTGTTGCCCCAAAATTTAACATACTTTTTGCTTTGTCTTTGTCAACGTCACTCTTTAAAGGAAATGGATTCTATATTTAAATGCAATTCATAAACTCTGTAAACTGTTGTACGGTAAAAAAATATAAAAATTAAATTACAAATATTCCAAAGTGAAATTACATAGATTTTCCAGAGTTCAAAATTTCCGTTACTTTGAAACAAAAACAGAAGTGTAAGAAATAAAAATTGGTTTATAGATGTTCCACAGTGCTTAAAGAGGAATGTAGTTAAGATTGGCAGTGTAGCATTTCAACAGGTAATAAGCACCTGTCACCCTGAGTGAAGCTCAGAAATATCTCACCATGGTATCTTCATTATAAGCATCAGCCTGTCTGATTAAGGAATATAAGCGGGTAAAAAGTATTTAACCTAACTTTTCATGAGTTTAACAATGAACAGGAACACAGAGGCACAACATTTTTTACTTTATTGTAGTTGTACTTAGTGAAGCAAAAGCCTCATCATGGTACAGGTCCACATATTGACTTCTAGACACCTGTTTTCTACAACCTAGCATCTTGTGTTTTCTTTTAAGCTAGAAATAACTCAACTGCATGCCACACATCTCACAGATGAGTGAAAGCACTCTCAAGCCATTGATGCACACACCATATGCTACAAGCATGCATTGGTAAAATAAAACATCAGAAGATTCATATTACCTTACCTTTTTTTGTAGTATGTAATGGTTTGGAATAACGCCTAAGTGTTTGGATTCATACAATAATGATGATGTATGTATACATATATAAGTACCTAACATCTGCATTACATCTTTTGCTAGCCCCTCCTGTACTATTAATTCCATAAATAAAGTCAGATTTTCAAATCTGTTTGGTAAATTATGCCTATCAATGAGTCTGGAAAAGACATAAGGGAGTTTGGTATTCTATAGCTCTGCATTGGACAAGTAATGTACAAGTGACACTGAACTTGGCAAACAATCTGAACTCAGAAGACTGAATCACTTTGCAATAAAAACTTGCTGAAATATAACTACACAATCTTTACAGGCTGTTGTCACAGATGTTGTTTTTCAAGTTTGGTAAATGAACCAGGGTATTGCATTAAGTCTGTCCATTGCTTTGTCTTTCATTGCTCTGAGCCTTCAGGTTCAACCAGGACTGTGTTAGGTTTAGGATCTCCAGACAGACCCTCTTGGCTCATCTGTCTAGGACTTCCCCCAGCTAATTCTAGCTGCCCAGGCTTCGGGTTAACTCCTGAGTTTCTCTGAGACTTGAGAATAGGCTCTCACATTAGTTACTAACCAGTAGAAAATCATAACAATAAAAGACTCCACATTTGTGTGATCATAAGTCTGTTGAGGCCGTTTACTCTGATCATGAAAAATAAACTGGACTAGGAAACAGTTGTAAACACTTTACAAATTTTCCTTCCTGTCTGATTACTCCAAATCACTCTTGAGACTAAGATCAAAATCTATGACAAAAATCAGATCATACTGAGCACACCCTTGTTTTACCTTCTGGACAACTAAATTTATCAGTCCACATTGCTTTCATTTTTTTTTTTTTTTTTTCTTTTTTTCTGTCCTGCTTTGGAATTTTTTTTCCCTGTTAAATTGTTCTCCCAGCTAGAAGCTATGTTTTGTGTTCAGGTATTCCCACCTCTGAAGACCAATCCTGAGAGATTAAATGTTTCCAGCTTGGAAAGCAAATGCAAATGCCTTGTTAGCAACGGTGGATTTATGGAGATATTCAAAACATGCAGCAATTTCACGACTATGTATTGTCAAACAGAACTGACAAGTTTTGCGTATACAAATTTTCTAGATTCTCCATAAAAAAAATTTTCATTCTAATGTCTCTTTGCAAAGCAAGATGTTATTATCGATAGTCAGATCTCATCCAATGCAAAAGGAAATTTTCCCTCATGAAATCAGCAGTTAATCTACTCTAAGTCTCCATAGGCCTGGGCCTGAAAGCCACAACACTATGGTTGGCCTGCATTCATTCAGAAGTCCTAGGAAATGTACTGAGAATCAACCATCTAAAACACTGAGAATGAAAAAATAAAAGCTACCATATTGGGGTACTGGGGACAGCCCAATTATTTTTAATTAAAAAAGGTATAGCTGTCTAAGAAAATGAAGTTATGAATGCAGCATAAACTAACATTAGTGATCACTTAATCTAGCACGTTTAACACAAGCAGTGGTGCTTCACGTTCCCATGGTAAGCAGAAGGATAACAGCACAAGCTACAGTTGCGTCTTTTTCTAGACATGTCTGCCTTTTGTTTGTAGAATGTGTTTCCTGATGACTTTACATTCACTTATATTTGCAGATGGATCTACAGATACACTTCTATTTAAAGGATGCCTCCTGAATTTGGGGAGGAGAAAGGACTAGCATTCAGAAGAATGTGATGAACGTTGTTGCTAGCACAAACAGTTCTACTGAAGTTCTCTGTCATCTAGGGAAACTCATTCATTTGTTCTTGTTTTTGAAACACTAAACCCTCAGACTGAACTACCATGGTTTTGGAACTCTGTAAAATTACAGCTAATCCGTAGCTCTAAATCTCTCTCACTGTCAGCTTCTGGATGACTTTCTCTCCTCCCCCAGAAAAAAAAATAAATAATTCTCCAGACAACTGAAAAGCTCAAACTTACTTGCTGCATTGTAGGTGAATGTAAAGCAGACTGGACTTGCATCGGTAGCTGGTTTCCAATGGGCTGCTGCATTGAAATCGACTGGTGTTGCTGGATGTTGAGATGCTGGTGCAGAGGGGGGCTGATCTGAAGAGGTGGTGGTGGGGACACAGCCATGTTTGCTATGGAAACAGTCACTGGCATTTGGTTGTTGGGCTTGGGCGCTATGTTCCTGGGGATATTGGCATGCATGGCAGTGATGTGAGGATTCATTCCTGGTTGTTGGTGGTAGTGGGAACTGAGGTACAGTGCAGAGTGAGCCTGGGTGGGCCCATGGAACACTGACTGCTTTGAATTCATCATCTGAGGTTGTGGGGAGGCTTTAACATCAACGGGTTCACTGTAGCTCTGTTGAGAAAACCAAAAAACAGACAATACTTAGAAGCTACAAAATACTGTGTTGTACCCCCTGAAGTCTGATTAAGAATCACACCATGGGAAAACAGTTATCTGGACCATCAAATTGTCCTTGAAATGGAATTTGGTTATTATACTAGAAAAATAATTAATTCCTTTAATTCCTTTTATCTTACATTTTTCAATATGGTAAAAAAAAAAAAAATAAAGTTAGCTTCCCTATTTCCTGGTCTAGGCTGACATTTTGCTTTTTCCAAACTTGGAACCGGCATCACTGACCTAATAACCTACACAGCAAAGACAACCAAGCCTTTCACTTTTATTCACATATTGTCCTCAGATTTGGTGACCTAGTTGAAAAGAGATTCAGGAGGGTGGGTTTCAGCAAAAGTCTGCAGTGATCTTTGACATGTCACATTTTCCCATCTGCAAACCAGGGATAAGGATTTCAATGTCCTTTACCATACATGTGGATAATTGCTAATAGTCAGTTAACTAACATGATGAAGAGGCTAAATCCCATCCACAGTGAATAAATATGAACTGAATAAATATAGTTGTTGTGCACTACCATTATATTGAAGTATTTTGTGCTGGGATGCTATCCACACCTGTATCAAGCATGTTTCAAGAGCTGTGCATTCAGAAAAATAAGAATATTCTGATTAATTTAATTTTTAGAAAAACCTCCTCTGTTAATCCAGTTCATAAAGTTCTGAAAATTCTGTTTAAAACTGATGTCTATATAAATGTTAGACTGCATCAGACACAGGGAAGATATCTTACTAAAGCTGGAAGAATACTGCAGAGAATATTAGAAAATGCATAGGTCTACCCTGATCTTTAAGAAATATACTGCTGCTAGAAGTAAAAAAATCCCACTAATGAATGCGTATTTTAATAATATTCTTTGTTCTAATATTTTAATAACTAGTTACATTTGATTTAAACTCAATTTGTTGTTTTCCATATGCTTATTTTCTTAGATCTTCTGAGTGCTAACTATGTGTGCTCAAATAAATGATGAAACAAATTTAAGAATTAACTCCCATGAGCTTATAGGTGGGAATCGTAATTTGCAGTTCAGTCACACTGGGATTAATAGTCAGTGAAAGGTGAAAAATGCTGGAAAAAAATGGCAGAAATGTCCCTCTGGAGAAAGAAGTCACTTTGTCAAAACAAGGGCTGAAGGATGCATATATGCCCTTATTCTGTGACCTCCATGTCATGTTTGCTCAGTTTACAAGTCACAGTAAGTTTCATGTTACTCTCAGCACTCCAGGGTCAGTGAAGTCTATTTGTATTCTTTCTGAAGGATGTACTATCACCAACAATCCGCTGACACACGCGTTACTGAAATTGCTTCATTACATGCGATGATAAAGATGATAAAGATAACTTCATTCTTCCTAAATATAACTGGAGTTCTATTAGCAAAAAAACTCCTTTTCTCCAGTAAACTAAGGACAATTAAACGAATATGATAAAATGAAGGCAAATCTCTGCCTCTGTGGATGTGCCTGGCTCTTCTGTGTATGCTCTTCTGTGTATTATATGCATGTTTGCAAGATTCAGATACAGACATAAAAACCTACAGATAGTAAATAGTAAAACCTGAAAGCAGGTGCAAAATCTGCCAGGTTTTTGGTATTATTTTAAAAACACTGAACTAATACTCATAATAACATGAGAAATATTTTTTCCCCTCTCTTCCCAGTTGTAGTTTTAGGACACTTGTGAGTGTGGTAGCAAAGACTGGCAGGTTTGCTGAAATTTCAGAGATTCGGAAGAAAGTTTGCTAATTAGCATCATGGTCAGGACCTTCCTCTTGTGTGTCCTGGGCTCTTTACACATTACAGGAGGTGTATGCTGTGTCCTTTCTTGAGAAAATTAAAGTTTTACTGAGAGTATCATCCCCTCATGAAAACAGCTTGCCTTTGCATGATGTAGCAGGCAGGCTCTAACTGGTCCAAGCAGGGATAATTGCTTCTGAAGCATCTAAGGGCAGATCGGTTAAAAAAGTTCTTCCTGGTAAGGAAGTATCAAAAAACCTTTGCAGCACTATTTGTGACATACTGATACATACTTATATTTCATTTGTGACTACAGAGATGCTGCCATACACTGTTTAACAAAGATGCAGTGAGTCAATTTAATTATTGGGTAATTCTGAGTTCACACCTAAGTGGTGAATGCATGGCCCATCCCGATAAAATTACAGATGTATCACACAGGTAGCAAATTTCAAACTATGTTAAGAGGAATTGTACCGTCTTGGGCCAGAGATTAATAACACTTGCTTTACCTCTGAGAAGAGTGTCTGCAAAGTGATCAAAAGGGATCATTCCAGCTGTTTCAAGCTATCAATCAGCTGTCTTTATGTTTCACTACCTCCTGATCCAATGAAAAGCACAACACTTCAGTTTCAGACCAAGTATTTTGCTGTTACTTAGGATGCTTTAAATCATATGTGATCTGAAGCCACATTGTCCAATATCAGTGTAAAACACATCAATATTATCAGTTACTGGGAATCTTGATAAATGAACCCATTAAATGCTATTCTCCAGCACACTGAACTTTTTCTAAGGGTTGGTCAGAAACACAGATTGTATAAGTATTGCTGAAGCTAATGGAATAGGTGGTGTCATATATTTTGGTTTTGTTATGTTGGTTTACTGTGAAATATACCAAGAGGTATATATGATGCATAGCTCACACTATCATTCCAAGCACAATTACTTCTTTCACAGATTTGAATGGGCGTTGCACCTGACCAGTACTTCATCAGACAGTCTAAGATGAGGACTTTTGTTATGGATACAACTAGGAATGAAGAAAGAAGGGATTTGATTAGCCAATAGGATTTGATTAGCCAATATGGGCTTCAAGTGCACAGTCATGTCCCCTAACTTTGTAGGTTGGAATTCAGTCAATTTTCTCTTGTCTTATCCAAGGAGAAGAGCACATAAATATTTTTTTTTAAGAAACCCTATTTGGTTAATTAATTTGCCCAAAACCAAAACCAACACAGACAATTTATATCTCTAATTTTTGGCATGAAGTTACAGGATACAGTTCAGTTACAGATACATGCAATATTACAAATCCATACACAGAGGCCACCAAACATTGAAACACTATGTCTCCTAAGTGACAAGGTCTTCTACTAGACTTGCAGTGAGAAAATCTCTTATCATGACTATCAGAAATATGGTGTTGTAGACCCACCACTAGAGGGTGACAGAATATTATATTTAGTTAATGGTAGGAAGTGGCATTGTACACATACATTAGCAAATATACACTAAGACCACAAACTAGCTTTTCCTGACAGTCCTTTATGCTCTTTGAGTGGCTTCTACTTGTTCTGGAGTTCAGGTCAAAGCCTTACTCTAAATCTTTCAAGATCTTCACAGGGTAGGAGTAGGGTTTCTTATGGACCTGCCTCCCCATCTAACATCATCATCTAATACTGTTGCCTAAATAAAAAAAAAATAATCAGAAGGTGAAGACAAGGTAGGTAGGCCAAGGTAATGTGATGCTATGGAAAAAGTATGACTGCCTTCAGGCACAACTTTTTTTTTTTTTTTTTTTTTTTTTTTTTACAAAAATCTATTGTTTTACTGAAACACAAAGAAAAAGAGAGAAGAACATTTTGAAATCCCAACAGAAAGAGAATGAAAGTAGAAGAGAAATAGGGAAAGGAAGGAAACAAAATAAACATTACTCCAACTCTGATGATAATAAAGATAATTATATTAATTAAAAGTACTGGTACATGATCCTCAGTCCACAAAATTATTCTACTAGTATCATACCTTCAAGAAAATGTCTGATGATACTGATGAGTGTAGTTCTCCAGAGAAAGTGTTGAGAATTGATAATTTTGCACAAATTTTTCACCAAACTCATGCCTTTCCTTCCAACTCTAGCCCAAAGCAAACTTTCCCATCCACCTTTTACTCCCCTACTGTGTGCCAAAACTCTTTATGCAGAATAGCCAATTTAAAGAATTAAATTAGGTTAAGAGGTTAAGCATTGATCATCCAGTTGTGTAGTCTTTTCCGAGGAGAACTGCCCTGGGACTAATGGTCTTCTTATCACAGACTGAATACAGGCATGAGGAGGGGTATTAAGTTCCTTAGAGGGAAGTGACAGTGGGATTTCCCTCACCGCAAGACATCCAACCCGCTCCTACAGTTGAGAAATGATTTTTGGTACAGACATCCTGCTCAATTTAGTGGTGTCAGTGTCTCGTCTCTCACAATCAGAGAAAACAGCAACAGCCTAGTGACGCCATTCTGGCACTTCCACAGCTACCTTTAGGATATAATTTTACTTTCATTTTGAAAAGTTGCCCTTTAAACCCCCACCTGTATATCTGGGTAACCAAACAACTGTTGAAACCTACACATGGGTTTTGATTCTCTTTCTAACTTGTGACTGCCTTCTAGATACTGTTGGCTCTTCTGACCCCACTTCTGTTGGAACATAAACAACATCCATGTGACTGGAAGTAGAGTAAGAACATGCTTTTACAAGGCAGTACTGTAAGGGCCTGATCCTTAGGCTACTGAATTTAAATGGAAAGTCTCCTATTAACTTAAATGGAATTTGGATCAGAGCCCAACACTTACTTCAGTATTAATGCCTGGATGTCCATGTAGTTCTTCATGAGAATCAGGCAGGACCCAGCTAACAGAGGCTGAGAATCATTGCCAATTGATAAGCAGTACTTTTGACCTGTATTTCTTCAGAAGCATACCTAGAAACTACTTGTGCCTATACTTACTTCATTTTGCTTTTTTAACATGCTAATGCAGTTATTGCTAGAAATGTTGCCAGCAAGTAGGCCCACAGAGGTAAATATATACACGCGTGTATGAACAGCTTCAATTTACATACGGTACACATGCTTTATATTCAGCATTCTTATCTACTATAGCATATAATACCACAATATATGGGAATTAAATATTTTTGCAATA